GGTATACATACAAACACAAACATCCATGGCCTAACTAGGATTCGAACCTATGTCTCGGTAGGAGTCCCCATACGAACTCAGTGCCTTCACGCTCTCGACCACCGAGCCGCCGATTGATCTCATTGCATTTTCAGTCTTCACTTGAAACTTATGACCAACATGTTTTATTTCTCCTCAGATATAACAGCTATGAATGAAAATATATTTGTTGAAATCGTTTTTTTTTTGTTTGGTTGTTTTCTGTTTGTTTTCATTTTGACGAATCGTTCAAGTTGTTTGGATAGAAGTGGGGTTGAAGAACATTCTTGATGTGATGGATTCCGTTATAGAATATATCAGTTTGTCAGGAGATATCGATTTGGCTCTATCATTTGATTATTCCTTACTTAGCTAAATAAGGTTGGTGGCCAAATTTTAACATATTTGTTGCCAATGTTGTCTTCGTAATTCTCCATGAATATCGATGGTCATCTCACGTAGTGACGTATCTCATTCTTCTTGATTTTGCAGGAGAGCATATCAAAGATTTTCAACATCTCAATTCGCTTATAACTCAGAGATTTGTTCATGGAGGATCATTGTTTTTCACATTTATTAGTGGAAGAACTAGAACTAGTTGTTATGATGTGGTGAGATCTCGAAAGAGCATCGACAAAAACAGAGTAAAAGATATGCTTGTGAGATACGTCACTACGTGAGATCCTGTTTGTCAATGTGACCTCAGAACCGCCATGAATATAAAGTGAATTCAAATGAATATCATTCTTCTTGATGAAAAACATGAATATTCGACTTGTTTTCTCTTATGTTCTGGTTTCCACGAAAAGGGATATCCTGTAATGTTTAGAGAACATCGTGAGAACCAAGGGAAATGAGGTAGGAATGGGTGTTCTTCTTGAATTTCTGGACTTTATATGCCTCGGGGAACACCTCCCTTGGCGATGTGTTCTATAGCTTCACTGTTCGTTGGATAAGCGAGATGTTCTGCAGGTCTTCAAAGTGACCACGAAGGGGTGCGAAGCCTCAACTCGGCGGGTCAATCTCACGGGGACTGCCAAGGAAGAAACAGTTGTTGATATTTCAGAAGAGCCAATGAAAATATCTATAAATTAGAGCCAGATCTCCAACATTTCTACGGTGTTCCAGAGAAGTGAGTGAGTTTGTGAGCGAGGCATCACCCACGAGACGAATTGCCCTTTTGAGGGCAGAATCCAACAGTTTCAGGGTATTTTTGGGTGCTGCGCTCCAAATATGGAAACAGTATTCCAGGACAGGTCTGATCTGTGCCTTATAGATCATAAACAGCTGACTGGAACTGGAATAGCTCCTGGCCCGAAACAGAAAATCAAGTTTTGGGGATGCACGTTTAGCGATTGATCTCACGTGATTTTCCAAGAAAGGTTATTGCTGATAGTAATACCAAACATCGAAATGGATGTCTTCAAAGGTATGGTTACTCCTGACAAGCTCATGTTAGGCACACTCTGCTTCTCTAGATAAAAGGCATGCTTGTGTTTTGTTTGCATCGAAATCTACCAAGTTATTGGATCCCCAGTCGAGAGTTGTTGCCAACATTTCTTTCTCGTTCGTTTCTGATCTGCCTGGCTGGTATTGGAGCCCTGGAAGAGAAGGCGGTATGGATGGTTAACTATCATCCGCGAAGATGCGTGTACTGGACATGAAGTTGCTTCCAATAAATCGTTGATATGGAGTAGAAATAGTGTTGGTGCTAGAATTGATCCTTGCAGAACAATAGCATTTATGATAAGAGAGTCAGATGAAACTCCGTCGACCACTTCATGGAAAGACCTATTTGAGAAAAAACTAGCTAACAGAGAACATAGCTGGGGAGGCAAGCCATAAGATGGAAGCTTGGCAAGGAGTCCGTGGTGCCAGACGCGATCGAATGTCTTGGAGATATCAAGTGCCACGGCTAAAGTTTCACCATATTTTTCAATAGATTGCTGCAATATATGTGAGACGTAAGCGAGGAGGTCACCAGTTGATCTCGGATGACGAAAGCCATATTGCCTATATATGATAATACCTGAATGTTCCAGGTATTCCATGAGCTCGATGTTGATAGCTTCCTCCATGAGGTATGAAATAATAAATAGCAGTGCGATCGATTTGTAGTAGCTAGGTAGGGTCTTTCTGACTTTTTTAGGAAATGGTTGTACTCCCGCAATTCTCCAGTTGGACGGGAATATCCCCAATTTGTAGGAGTAGTTGAACAACTTCCATAGAACAGGTGTTACTTCGGGAGCACATTTCTTGAGAACAATCGGTGGGATTCCGTCGGAGCCACAAGCGTTGCTGGTGTTGAGATTCAATAACATCTTCTTTATAGTACGTTGGCGAAAAATGATCTCGGGCATATGACTGTCAATTGTCGTTATGTTTAGAAGTTGTTTCCCCGATGGATCCTGAGTGGAATTTCTAGCAAATAAATTCGCAAAAATGTTGGCTTTCTCCTGGGCAGTTGTGACTAGAGTACCATCTTCCTTGGTTGGAGGTGGAAACGAGCTGGAAGTGAAGTTTCTTCCTACAGCTTTGGCGAAGTGCCAAAAAGAACGGGTCCGTTAGGACATTCAACAACTGTTGATCTTATGTTGGCATTATGAGCATCCTTCGATGATCGAATTGTTTCATTGAATATGCCTCTATCCTCGACATATTCTGCTCTAGTCTCAGGGCCTGGATTTTCCTGCCTTCGATGGAATGCTGCCTGTTTGGAAGCGACAGCTCTAGAGTAGTTTCTACTGAACCAGGCCTTATCGGAAGATTTTCTTGTACAATATCTCACAATGCCTTTCAGTACCTTGAGACGTCTTTCGAGATATTTTGATTTTCCTGCAAACAGTCACTGTTGACATTTTTTAACAAATAATGAAAATATATCTCACGAACTGACGTAACTTCTACAGTTAGGTTATATCGTGAGATTTAGTATTCCAATAATATGAGATAGGTTGAGTATTCGATATTTAATTACACGAGAAACATATAATATTGAGCTACTCCACTTTGTGAGATTATAGAGTACAAGATTATGAGTCAACTCTCAACCGAATCAAGAAAAAACTATCGAAAAAGAGATAATCAAATCCAATGATGATAGAGCCAAATCGTTATTATCTGACCTGACCAACAACTTTCCAATAATAAAGTTCATCGCATTCGGAATATTCTTCAACTCAACTTCTTTCCTGGAAACTTCATTGATAGAACGATCGGTCAAATTAAAAACAAACAGGGAAACAAGGAATATAAAGACTGTTCCGTCTAAACTGCACATTAGACGTATCTGGAGGTTTAAAAATGACACTGATCTGAAAATTGATTGAATCCATTTCGATGAAAATATTTTCAAGATGGCGGCACTTCCGGTGGATCCGGAAGTGACATTAACTTCATTTTTTCATAGTCTCTTCAGGATTTTTCATTGTCGATAAAAACGGCTTTCACATTCCGATCTTGACTTTTGATTTACTATCTACTAACATTTAATTGGATTCAGACTTCTGATCACCCTGTATCTGTTCCAATTGAATGTCAGTTAATTGTCAAGTTGATTGAACGTTGAGATAGGGACATGAAAGCTGATTTGACTGATAATGAATAGTTTCGACTTTCGACACAAGTTGATCTTGTTTTGAATACCCTATATATACCTATCTCTGTATTCATTCCAATAAATTCAATATAATTAATTCTTGCTAGTCTACAAGTGCGGCATTGCCGGAATTATATTAGTTGGGTAGAGAATGTCAAATTATGCTTGCCATAAAATTTTCAAGGTGACCCGATGTCCGGTTTACCAGATACGTCTTGTCAACCCACCGCAAATCAGCCCATGAGAATTTTCCCTACTAGGTTTTTGGCAGTAACATCATTACAAGGCAGTGACGAACCATCTAATTTGTACCAAATTGTACTGTACTGAGAGAACACTTCTTATATCGAATTCGATTTCGTGCCAAACGATAGAACACATTTTGAGCTCTCATTATTGTCAACATTCAGGGGCGTCCGCAAAAATAATCTTAGGGAGGGGCAAGTCACAATAATAATGATATGATAATGATGTACAATATTCAGTACATATCAAAAAACAGTTTTTGCACGACCTATAAGCGATTTTACACCGACAAAAGCGGGAATACAGATTATACAGATTAGGCACTCTCTAGACAATAGTTTTTCCACACATATCAGCAAATATTTATTGAAAAAACTTTGGAAAGCAATTGAGACAATATGCTACCACACTTTTTCGATGTTCACAAAAAGCAATATGGCTACTCTTCTTTATAGGTAGTCATGATAGTCAAACTTATTTTTTGATTATTGTGTTCAGCTTTTCATATTGACAATAATTGAGTTTATCATAAGATTCTTTCAATTAAAATCGTCGAGTCGTACAAAAATGGTATATATAAACCTCGGAAGTGCGTTCTTTCTTCCCTCAGTGCATTGTAGCACCCACTGGCTACAAAACCACCTCTGGAAAAATAATGCACTTTACTCTCTCAATATTTGATCTACTATTATTGTTCAGAAAACATGGAATAAAAAAATAAATATCAAGTGAATTGACATCACATATAGGTATTCTGTTAACAGCCAAAATTACAATAAAAACTTGCACGTGATAATAATCATAATCTTGTTCGAACAAAAATGGCATTCTTATAGTCTTGAGCAAATTCATCTATAACTTCGTTGATGAAATTAGCTCTATATCTTTCAATAAGATGTCGATGAATACCTACTAATTAAACAAAGTCTCAGAAAGTCACTATAATAAGCTCTAATCAGAATAGGAATTGAATAATGCAAATGTATCTTGTTTACAAAGTATCTGAGTAAAGACTAGGGGCTGGGGGGGGGGGCTTCCCCTCCGGATACCCCTGTCAACATTGTTTCCGGAAGATAATTTCATAATTCATTTTATCAAATTCACATTTTTGCTATCACTAACTGATGTTTTCTTGTAGCTGATGATTTCAAATCTTGCAAGGCCGACTCTTCTTCCAATTCATCTTGTCTGGTGGATCTGATTCAAGATGCTCTCATCAAACTTGGAACAAAAGGTACCTACAGTTCAACATAATATATACAAGGTGTCCCAGAACAAATTACCAAAAATTCTACAGGGTGAACTAGCGACCATAATAGGCCGATTCAAGTCAACTTACCTGTATACAAAAATGCACCATTGAGCCGTGAGAGGACGTTGAAGAATGATTTCATATCAAATTATATTTCAAAATTCGTTGAAGGTACCGCTCTAAAATTCTAAGGGCAATAATTTTCTACCGTGAATGTGCATGAAAAACATAACATAAAATACACGCAAAAATCCTGTTTAGAACTACTTCAGGAGAAGGTAGGATTGTGGTCATCAAAAAATACATTTTTTTTTCTCGAAACAAATTTTATCGCGAGAAATAAGAATTAAATTTGGAAACAACCAGCTCCCACACCATATGATGATGAGCATGCGAAATGGTGAATATGGATATTGTGGTCAATAATTCAACACAAACGAAGTAGAAATTTGCAAAATATGATATGTTATCCTGACATTATGAACAAGTATGGAGATGTACCAAAATGAATTCTGTTAGATATCTCGAGACCTAAGGAAATATAAAAGAACTGCAGATGAAAAAGAAGTTAGATGATTGATTTTGTTGTTCATTGAAAAAGTTTCTTCAATTTTCATCAAAAATAATGTGAAATATCTATCTCCCTGTATATTGATTAAATTGGTATGACATGGATTTCATGCACATTCAAGAAAATGAATTGTTCTACCAATTTTAGAGCAGTTCCTTTCTTGAAGAATTCAGAAAAATCTGCAAATAAAATTATTCTTCATCGTCCTCATGGCTCAAGGGTGCATTTTCGTATAAAGGTTAGTTGATTTCAATTAATCTATTTTGGTGTCTGGTGTACCTTGTAGAATTCATGGTACGTTGTTCTGTATATATACAGGGTGTTTAATTAATATTGCACAAAACTTCGAGGTCATATTTTTTGGGTCACCATAAGAAAAAAGTTCATATGAACATATGTCTGAAAACGATGAATTCTCCTTAAGAAAATCGATTTTTCATTGATTTCTAAAATATGCCTGAACCGATAGTGATAAAATGCACAATGTCTGTAGTAGTAAAACCTGCCCGGTACTTCCGAGCGTACCTACAGGGCAAGTTTTTTGCACAAAAAATAATACACATTAGTTCTTTTTTGCAATTTTTCCAATTTTTTCGATTGAAACAACTCAAAATAAATATTTTTTGGCAGTTTAGTTTTTTTTGTATCTCGCTGCGTTTTGAAAGTAAGAAACAAAAACCAAACCCATGCATGTGAACCCTATGACAGAAAAACTGTAATAATCAAAATCTAGTTGCTCGTTCAGCAAATCAATCATGAAACCATCGCGAAACACGAACTGAGGTACCTACCAATGTCCATTCCGAAATTATAAAAAAAATTAATTTTGTAAGATACTTGAGAACAAATCGTTTTCGGACATATGTTTGTAGCTACTTTTTTTATTTTTACGCAAAAAATACGACCTAGAAGTATTGTGCAATATTAATGAAACACCCTGTACATACATTATTTTTTTAAGTCGAAGAAGATTTTGCAAGCCTTTCTGAAAAATTTTGGAGACCTGGACCTGATGAACATCACTATTAATGAATAATGTTTCAGGTATTTCCTCACCAATAAACTTCAATATCAATCCCATGATCCTAGATTTCTGGCATTTCCATGTTCAAGTGGACGCTGTAGATACTCACGAATATTTCTGGGACCTCAAACATCCAACACTTTGGAATGCAACAGTACTCTCTGCCTCGTGAGTTTCGTTCGTCAGTGTGGTACAATGTACAGGGTGGGCAAAATTGGGCGTTTTCACCGTCTATTTCAATAACTAGAGGAGTTATCGAGAAACCGATATACATGTTCCGGGTTCGATTTTGGAGAAACCTTGAATGGTACAATCAAAATTTCGATATCTTCATTCGTTTTAGAGACACAGGGGGAAATTGAAAATTTGGCGATTTCGATTTTATTTTCTGACTACTTTGCGGTGAGAGGTATCAAAAAATTCCAAACGTATATTTATACAGTATGATGCGTGGAATCCATTGGCATCATCAGAAATTTTATACAGGGTGACGTTGAGAAAATACGGCAGCCAATTATGTTTTTTTTTAATGGAACACCCCGTATATTTTGGCTTAGTTGAATAGTCCCAGGCGTTCTCATTACAAATTTATATATAACCCTAGCTTTTCCTTCCACAATTTCAGTTATATTCGCAAAAATATATTCAGTGTGTCACATTTCTTATGGTTACACCCCCGTATCTTCTGTAAGAATAATTGATGGAAACATTAACGATCATAATATTTTGTGGCAGAATGCCTGAATATGATACTTTACCCATTATTTCTAGTATGCCTTAATATTTTTGCGTTCAAAGAGATAATAAATAAGATATATATTTGAAATTGAAACGGAAACTTCCAAGCTCTGCCAAAATATACGGCATAAAAAAAATTGTTCTGTATCTGGAATTTGGACATCTTCTATAAGGCTGTATTTTTCAACGCAACCTACTGATTTCCTAATTGAGTAAATTATTGGTCTTATTTCTGTATCTCAAATGTCTTGATAATAATGATATCAAATCGAATAATTTCCCATTTTATTTCTCACCAAATATCCATTTATCTGGAAATTACATTCCCTATGATATTTATTTTCCAGATTTGGTGAATATATACAGAGTGTCATTTTCAACCTCGATTCTGCCTGTTGATAGCATTATCCAGGAATATCGATGATTCCATAGCTGCTGGCGAGCAGTGTTATCATTGGAGATGATCCCACTTGGTCCATGACTCCATGAGTGTATCATTTGTATCTTTCTGACAGTTCCAAATTCTTGAATCCTACCTCAATTATTTTTACAGAAGATACGGGGGTGTAACCATAAGAAATGTGACACACTGAATATATTTTTGCGAAAATATCTGAAATTGTGGAAGGAAAAGCTAGGGTTATATATAAATTTGTAATGCGAACGCCTGGGACTATTCAACTGAGCCAAAATATACGGGGTGTTCCATTAGAAAAAAACATAATTGGCTGCCGTATTTTCTCAACGTCACCCTGTATAAAATGTCTGATGATGCCAATGGATTCCACGCATCATACTGTATAAATATACGTTTGAAATTTTTTGATACCTCTCACCGTAAAGTAGTCAGAAAATAAAATCGAAATCGGCAAATTTTCAATTTCCCCCTGTACCGCTCTGGTACTACTCGACTTCAGCAGAGCCTTTGATACTATAAATCATGAGTTGTTGATATCCATATTACATTACATTGGCCTGTCAGCTGCAGCTATAACATTGGTTAGAAATTACCTCAATAATAGAACTCAAAGAGTTGCAATTGGTGAGGTGCTCTCATCTCTACTTCCTCTTCAGCGGGGAGTACCACAAGGGTCAATTTTGGGACCAATTTTATTTGCAATCTACACTTCAAATCTCATCAATAATCTGGATGAATGTAAAGTGCACTTTTACGCAGATGATACCCAAGTTTATCACAGCTTTCCTCCTCAAAGTGTAGAAGTTTCCTGTGAAATAATCAATAAAAATCTGAATGAGTTTGTTAAAACTGCCACAGACCATTGTCTACTGTTAAACTCTCGTAAGTCTAATGTGTTACTCTTTGGACCCAAAACCAAACGATCTGCAGTACTAGAATCCGTAAATATATCAATAAATGGTGAACCAATTCAGCTGGTAGAGGAAGCTAAAAATCTTGGGGTCATCCTTGATCATACTCTCAGATTTGAAAAGAATGTTGATAATCTTTTGCGACGTGCATATTCTTCGCTGAAAACTATTTATGGTGTTAGGCATGTTCTTCCTTTCAAATTGAAAGTTATTATGTGTGAAACTCTCGTTTTATCACATTTCAATTATGCCAATTGTGTCTATGGACCACATTTAACAAAACTTTACAAAAATAAGATACAAAAGCTCCAGAATTCATGCTTGAGATTGATGTATGGGATAAGAAGAGGCCAGAGAATCTCTCATAAGATGAAAGATGCTGGTTGGCTGACTATGGAAAACAGGAGACTTCATCAGACCGCTAACCTCTTTCATAGAATTATCATCAGTAAAAAACCTTCCTATCTCCATAAAAAAATTGTTTTCCGTACGGACGTTCACAATGTGAATATTAGGTTTAGAGGAGTATTGTCTCCTCCCCCTTTCAAAACAGAACTTTTCCGAAGATGCTTCAGTTATCAAATATGCCATATTTATATATATATTAATTGAAATCAGCAGTGTTTCATAAATTCAAAACGAATATATTTTCACATCTGTTTAATTCAAATCAATAACAACATTCAGACTTCCTATTATATGTTATCATCCATATGTACTATTTTTTCACTTTTTCTAATTTCTTCCTTTGTTGTTCCTATATGTTGAATTGTAGAGGTATTTGAGGGTTAAGTGGTAGAGCAATTCAGTGGACGGAGTCATCTAGAAACTGAGTTGAACTTCGCCCTTTGCTTCTGAAAATTATTATCCACCCATACTTTATATATCATTTTCTATTCAGAAGTAATAAAGACGTTTATTATTATTATTATTATTATTATTATTATTATCTCTAAAATGAATGAAGATATCGAAATTTTGATTGTGCCATTCGAGGTTTCTCCAAAATCGAACCCGGAACATGTATATCTTTTTATCGATAACTCCTCTAGTTATTGAGATAGACGGTGAAAACGCCCAATTTTGCCCACCCTGTACAGGGCTAGTTTTATTAATGTGAACCCCCCTTCATCTTCTTTGTTTTATATCCATTCAACGAGATTCAAAACTGATATTTTCACGATATTCCATATTGGTTCCAATCATATTGAGAGAGTGTTGCAATATCTCTTCAAATATACAGGGTAAACAGAAATATATTAATTTTTTTATGAAATGCGCTGTATATTTTCATTGATGAAGATCCTTCTTTATATATGTTTGGAATCAGGACGATTTAGGGAATTCAAATTTATCGAAAAATACAGGGCATTTCTTTCGAAAAATATATTAATTTCTGTGTACCCTGTATATTTGAATAGATATTGCATCATTGTCAAAATGAGCGAAATCTGTGCGGAAAATTGTATAAAATCAGTTTTGAAATTGTTTGAATGTGTGGAAAACAAAAAAGATAGTGGGGGGTTCACATTAATAAAACTAGCCCTGTACAATTTGGGGCATATAATGCAATTATTAGAGTGTCCTTATCCCACGGTGCAATGGCGCGCACGTCTCAAAAAAAGTATGCTGTGATTGCGCGCAAAGTCGGAAACTATATGTATATAGTAAATGGAAGTTTCATTTAATTTTCATGTTTTGCACAGAGAATTCACTAATTATAGTAAGCAAACTATTATTCTTTGTGCAACAAAAAAATATACTTCTTTGAAACAATCTAATTTAACTTGACCTTATATACAGGGTGAGTTAATACTGTGTTCTCCTTCGATATTAACCAAACCGTCACGTATATAAAAAAAACGAATACAACAGTTATAGAATTTCTTCTACTCACATAACTAAAATGGCATTTAGCATACGGATATGTACCACGCTAAATGATCAATTAATCACGGATTGTCGATCTGTGATTTATTCGAAATATTAAACATGTTTCCATGGCAACACGATTTCTTAAACACATTACCATGGCAACGCAATTCATTAAACACAGCTTCGGTAATTTGAGACATGTCTGGCCTGTCAATTGTATTAACTGTCAACTGTTTTTATCAAATTTTGTTTCAGAATTATTCAAACAATATTCGTTTGTATCAGAATTCTTCATTAAAAATATATGCGAAAAGTAGAAGAAAGTGAAATCGAAGAGAATGTCTGGTACTTGCATATCTCCAGGAAGTGTGAAAATGAAGCATCCATCTTTGAGAACAATTTATTTATTCTACGCTAAGCATGACAATAAACGTGAAACAAAGGTTAGTAAGCAATGGACTGGACACATCTACAACCAATATCACTTATACGTGTCTCGCTGGTTGCATGCATAGTTGCATGTATTATGTTCTCAATTCCCATTCCTTTCGAATTATTTTGAAGGTTAGCAGGAATGGGCTTATATCACAAAAAACATTATTTCATAATTCGATAGAACTCACCCAAACTAGCTCACCACCGCAAACCGTTTCTTGCTGTGAGCTCCCTACGATTTATAAAAAATTATTGAATTCCCCGATTTTTCGGACCTCTGAAAACGAGGCGATGATGTGACGTCAAAACCCTAATATTGAAACAAGACTATTCCAGACAGAGATGAATTATACATGATTTTTGACAGGGTGAATTAGCGCGGGATCACAGTTGAAAGAATTAATATCTCAGTTGCATCAGTCTCCGTCGGGCGTTTGGTATTTTCTTTTAACTATGGCGAGATGAAGTTTCTACGTCATGAAAGGGTCCGTTTTCAGACGGTACTATTATTTATGTCCAAAAATAAAACATTCCAGTTAATTTTTCGATCGAATTATGTCGTCAATCATTATTTATGTATAAAAGGATCATTATAAACATGGTTCGAGTTGAAAGTTCTACTAAGGTGTACACGCCCATTACATGTATGTTAATGTAAATTTCGGAGTTCGTAGAAAAAGCATAGTATGTAACGCGTTTATAAACTCTTCTAGACACTCGTTTATTAAACACTCGATCCGCTCTGCTCCGCTCGTGCTTAAAATACTCGTTACTAAAAGGACGTTTATAGAACTTGTCACATAATATACAATTATGAGAGGTGCCAGCTAAAATTATTTTCATATCTATAGGATGTTCGAATTCCAAGATATCGGCTGATGATGGGTGTTCTTGAATGACAAACCCTGTATATTATTGCATTTTTCAATTTTTTCTGAAGATCTGATTTAAATAATGTATCTATCACGCTTTGGGTCTAGCGGAAATGATTACATTTTCAAATTTGGGATTGTTTTGTGCCAGAACTATTCACTGGTCGAAACGGCTTACATGTCTCTATCTCAGCGTTTGATTTACTATCTACTGAAATTTAATTTGGATAGATACAGAGTGATCAGAAAACTTGAATTTTGTACCACCCTGTATTTGTTCCAATTAAGTTTCAGTAGATGGTGAATCAAAAGTTGAGATAGAGATATATGTAAGCCGTTTTGACCAATGATAAATAGTTTTAACACAAAAAAATCACAACGTTGAAAAATATAAATTTTGAACACCCCATATCTCTATAAACACTTCAGCTAGTCCTCAAGTGCGATTCATTGATGAAATCAACTTTCGAGGAAAAATCTAAAAATGTCATAATATACAGGGTGTCTCATTTGAAAACACCCATCATCAACCGATATCTTGGAACACCCTATAGATGTGAAAATAATTTTGAGTGATAGTTCCCAAGAAACCCTATAACTGTTGTATTCGAATTTTTTCTATATATCTGACGGTATGGTTGATATAGAAGGAGGACACACTATTGACTCACCCTGTATAATATGAGGAAGAAAAATATCTTTCCTGCATAAGAAAGGAGACCTAACTCGGCGTGATATACAGCGTGTCCCAAAATTTCTGAGACACAGAGCTACCACGTGTAATAGAGGTCACACTGCTGTGCCCCAGCAATTTTGGGACGCCCTGTATAGATAATATAAGGAAAGAAAAAATCCTTTCTGCAAAATGAAAGTAGACTCATTTTTATAAGCAATCTAACCTTACTTGGCCTAAATGATCCTTTCGACATAAACTCCGTTTTCAAAATTCTATATTTATATTTGTATTTTCCGAGGTGATTTCTGTATTCATACTTTATCTATAATCAATAAGAATTCACGAAATGTCATCAAGATTGCTGAATGTTAAATCAGTGGATTGAGTATCCGCTAAACCATTCATTATTGCGTCAGTAATGTATGTAATCAATTTTTCATTTTTGTAATTGGCCTATGTTTCTCCCTGTAGATCGGGAAACACAAACTTCATGAGTAGGTAAACCATCTCATTCTCGAATCATTATTACAAAACATGAAACAAACCGACTAGTATTTGTTTTAATATTTGATTTCAAAATTATCAGGTAGACCACTTCATTTGTCAAGCAGTTTATATGAAATTTCAATTGAATACCAAACATCACGTTTGGTAGATTGTATACAAGTCACAGAGTAATATACAGGGTGATTCACATAAGAACCGACATAGAGCAGGGGCATGTAGGGGGTCCCAAAATATGTCAATTTAACGCAACTTACCTCTATACCAAGTTGCTTCCCTAAGGAGTTATAAGCTTTGAAAGTGAAGTTATACATTTTGAAAAAAATCTCCGTTATTCTTAAACTCAAAGCAACCAAATTTGGTACACTTTGTGGATGTATTTAGGGCGTTACTTGACAGTAACTAGAGTTTAATTGAAATTTGTAAAGGGGTTATACCGGGTGGCGCACCATTAATATTCAACATAATTTTGTTAACACTTGATGGATTTCAAAAATCTTTGCTTTTTTTTGTGAGCAATTCGATTCTAAAACTTTTTTTACTCTAGTAATTTTTCGAAAAACCTCATCATTTTCATCAAAAACTCGAATAACTGAAAACGCACGCTCTAGGTGTGTTATTCAAAATCATCGAAAGTTCAAAAGTTGGCTATGAAAATAAACGTCAAACTTGACAATGAGGCAAGTGAGTTGGTCAATTAAGTAATTGTTGTTTGAGTGTTTTTAAAATGAACGGGGTTTTCTTTTAACGAGCAAGTTGACATGCTGTTAGTGCTATGCCTATAACTCCTTAGGGAAGCAACTTGGTAAAGAGGTAAGTTGCGTTAAATTGCCATATTTTGGGACCCCCTACATGCCCCTGCCCTATGTCGGTTGTTATGTGAATCACCCTGTATATAGTATACAGAATAACATTACAAACTACAGGGGAATATTCCAACAATAATTATTACCAATATGTTTAGCATTTTAATATCTGAAAAAAAAAAAACGAAATCCATCAAAACTCATTATGTTTTTCCATCAGGTTCAACAAATCTAGTCTCACCCTTAATTTCACTACTTTCCATGACCATGTCTCCCAGTATAATGGTGGTTACAAGATTTGGGGCCAACTATTTTACGACCAGGATAGTAAACCAGAAGTCATTTACGGAAATGGAACAGCAAATAAGCATTTCTGTAAGTACATACCATTCGAAAAGTCTGTAAGCATCATTGTCATATTTATACAGGATGATTCACGGTGTATGGCTCATCAGAAGTATTTGGAGAAGGGAATGACAGATCATTCTGAACATTGGTATGCGCATCAATAACCAAGCATTTCTATATCCGTCTTAAATATTTCCTTCAATACATTCTTGTTGCTTATTGTTTCAGAAAGAAATGGCAACTTTGTTAATTTCAGTTCAAGTTTGTCTAATCTCATGTCCCTATACTTCCCTATATACAGGGTGTTGCGACATTCGACCGACTACGCTTGACAGGTGATAACCCTCGTGATTTCATAATCACTGAGATAGGGACATACGTTTTCCAAGTGTTTAGTTCTCGAGATATAGGGCGTTGAAGTTGAGAAATTAAAATAGGTTTTTCGCAATATCTCAAGAAAAATTGAATATAATGTATCATATGGATTGCCTTTCTGGGGGAACTCGGCACATGCAATAAAAGTTTTTAAAATTAAAAAAAAAGTGATAAGATGTCTAGCTGGTCTACATTACAAAGAATCATGTAAGAGTACATTCATCCAACTGGCCATACTGAGTTTACCCAGCCTCTACATTTATACGATTACAATGCACATTAGAAAAAATGAAACACACCATACCACAAATAATATGATCCACATCTACAATACTAGAAGAGGTAATGAACTAAGACTACCTTATTCTCGTTTGGCTCTGGGATAGGACTCTGCGAGTTTACAAGGTATCATTTGCTATAACAATGCACTCAAACTATTTGGAAATGCATGTATAGCTTAGGAAGTTTCAAATCAGCTCTATACAATCATCTAGTCCAAAATGCATTCTACTCTGTTGAGGAATTTTTACAATCTAAATGAGTATTCAATATTATGAAACTTTAATCCTTTAACTTCTATTTTAAAATGTTTGTGTCTGTTCAAATGTTTTTATTCCTGTTCTTGACTAGTCTGATAAAAATTTTATAAATGTATGTAATACAGATGTAGAATTTTCAATGATGAATAAATTTCTATTCTATTCTATTCTATTCTATTAACCTACAGACAGTATCTATTCTATTCTATTCTATTCTATTCTATTCTATTCTATTCTATTCTATTCTATTCTATTCTATTCTATTCTATTCTATTCTATTCTATTCTATTCTATTCTATTCTATTCTATTCTATTCTATTCTATTCTATTCTATTCTATTCTATTCTATTCTATTCTATTCTATTCTATTCTATTCTATTCTATTCTATTCTATTCTATTCTATTCTATTCTATTCTATTCTATTCTATTCTATTCTATTCTATTCTATATGGTTTCATCTTTCAATGGTTAATTTTTTGACCAGAAAGACATTCCGATAATTTTATCCAGAGGTGCGCTACAGAGGGTTGTGATAACTTTTCCTCCCATATTTTCTACGTCACTGATGAAATTTCGATTATCTCCAATTTCTCGAATTGTTGTTCAATTATGTTGAAAAAATGCATCACCTTCAACTGAGCTAGAATGAACAGTTATCGAGATATTTAACCCAAAATCGAAATTTACATAGTAAATTTTTCATTTTCCACAGTGGTAAAAGATTACAAAAATTTTTGTTTTCTCTTCATGCGTGGAATAACTATTTCTGTACAGAATGAGATCTGAATAGTATATAATCTACTACGTGGAAACCAGAACATAAAGAAATGCAATCTTCTATTTTGGGTCGAATATCTCGAATACTGCATTTCAGCTCAGTTCAAGGTGATGTATTTTTTGAACAAAATTGAACAATGAATTCGGGGAATTGGAAATAATCGAAAATATGGGGAAAATATGGGAGTAAAAGTTGCCACAACCCCCTGTATATAGGGCACCACTGGATAAAATGTCCAGAATGGCTTCCTGGTCAAGAAATGACCCATTCAAAGATGAAAGCATATACCAGAGTTGAATGCATTATATTCAATTTTTTTTCGAGATATTTTTATTTCTCAACTTCAACGCCCTGTATCTCGAGAACTGAACACTTGAAGACCGTATGTCAACTGTCAAGCGTTGTCGGTCGAATTTCGCAACACTCTGTGTATGCCGTTTTCGAGATAATAATTGATTCCGGAAAATTTTGGAGCAAAATATATTTTAAAATGAATTTCAATATTTTCATGACCCGAAACATTCAGGAGCTTATATTTGGGAGACGCAGACCTTGAGCCTGAGAGCTCTAGATTGTTCACGAAACTCTTCCTTATAACATACAGGGTGGTTAAAAGAAAGATTCTTGGTGATTTAGAAAAGTGATTAGAAGTCTAGTTTTTTTAATGGACCACCCTGTATATTATTGCATTTCCTATTTCTACATTGATAACTCATTCGTCAAGGTCCTTCTATGATATACTCATCTGAAACCGTAGGGAAAAATTATTTTCGATTGTTTTTCAAGTAATATCACGATGCCGAGTAACAACACGAATCCGGCGTCAGGACGAGTTCTATTGCTGTATGGCAACACAATTGAGTGGACAATGAAAGACAGATTTATGATAAGATATTCAGAATAGAGTGGCATTTTGCTAGATATTGATATCTCCAAGGCATTCGATCGAGTCTGGCACCACGGACTCCTCGCCAAGCTTCCATCTTGCGGCTTGCCTCCCCAGCTACGTTCTCTGCTAGCTAGTTTCCTCTCAAACAGGTCTCTCTATGTAGTGGTCGACGGAGTTTCATCTGAATCTCTTATCATAAATGCTGGTGTTCCACAAGGATCAATCCTAGCCCCAACACTATTTCTACTCCATATCAACGATTTGTTGAAAGCAACTTCATATCCAGTACACAGCTTCGCGGAGTACGCTCCACACCACCTTCTCTTCCAGGGCTCCAATACCAGCTAGGCAAATCAGAAAAAAAACGAGAGAGAGATGTTGACAACATGAATATGGACTTGGCAACAATTCTCGAATGGTGATCCAATAACTTGGTAGATTTCAATGGAAACAAAACACAAGCATGCCTTTTCTCTAGAAGAGCCGATCTCACTGTGCCCAACATAAGCTTTTCAGGAGAAACCATACCATTGAAGACATGCATTTCGATGCTTGGTATTACTATCAGCAATAACCTTTCTTGGGTAAATCACGTGAGATCAATTGCTAAAAGTGCATTCCAAAAACTTGGTTTCCTGTTGCGGGCCAGGAGCTATTTCACTTCCAGTCAGCCACTTATGATCTATAAGGCACAGATCCGACCTGTCCTGGAATACTGTTTCCATATGTGGAGTGCAGCACTCTGAAACTGTTGAATTTGGTCTGAAAAGGGGCGATTCGTCTCGTGGGTGATGCCTCGCTCACAAACTCGCTCACTTCTCTGGAACACCGTGAAAAAGTTGACGATCTGGCTCTATTTAATAGATTTCTTCATGGATGATGCTCTTCTGAAATATCAACAATTGTTCCTCCCTTGGCAGTGTCCGCGAGATTAACCCGTCGAGTAGAAGGCTTCGCACCACTTCGTGGTCACTTTCAAGACCTGCAGAACATCTCTTCCCAAAGACTCGTTCATCCAATGAACCGCGAGGCTCTGGAACACATTGCCAAGGAAGGTGTTCCCCGAGGCATATAACCTCCAGAAATTTAAGTAGATTACCAATTTCTACCTCATTTCCCTTGGTTCTCATGATGTTCTCTGAACATTACAGGGTATCCCTTTTCGTGGGAACCAGAACATAAAAAAACTATTCCATACACGTTCATGAAGCATCAGAAGCACTTTCCAAGTATCTGACAGCGAACTACAGACACCTCGACGCCGGACGTCTTAAATTTCAATAGTCGGCTGTCATTTCTCAAGTAGATCGGTGTTATCAGGGCATTGACGAGACAATAAGACTGAAAATACTTTTCCATATAGCAACTTTTTCGTAGAACCATACATTTTTTTAATACGGTCCTGACGTGTCCTGATTGTGCGTTCACTGATTCTGGTAGCTTTTCTCAGTCTGAATTCAAGTAATACGATCTTGTATTATAAAAAATAGTTTGAATGTGTTTCGCCTCAATTTTAGCCATCATCAATGTCTCTTCAAAAATTCCGAAGAAAAATTTCATCAGTTTGACTTGATTCTGATCAATTTTCAACGCCTACTCTTTAGTAACACATACCTTTTTATTTTAATACCTACACAACATAATATTTTCTTATTATGTATTGATTTATTTGGAAGAATGAATTATTTCATTATCAAACTTAGAAAAACAAGACATTGAAAAAATAATTCTATTTGTATTCATTAGAAGGAACCTGGCATAGGTGATGAGATTGTTTGAAGTAATTCTGATAATACGAACCAGTCGATAATGTATTAGTGTGTTGACTCAATTTTCTTCACAATAAATGAAATTGGTCATAATTTTTCTTTGGAATTTCTAGAAAACATTGATGATAGCTAAAACTAGGTCGAGACATATTCAAACCACTCTGTATAATACTTAGTTGTATTCAGAGTAACAAAAGATTTGAGAATTTGTGAATATGTTATCAGAACCGTAGAGATAGAAAAAACATGAATCTAAAATATTTTTAGATTTTAACACTAATAACAAAAAAAAAAGGAAATTCACAGAATTAATTCGATATTTCTTCTATTGATTCGATCAATATGTGAACCTATAATAAAATTAATTAGGCAGTACGTGTTTTTATGGTCATTTGGATTCATGTTGTATTTCATCTTGGTTGGTGGAAATGTCAAACTAACATGAATATTTTGTTTTGTTTTTTCCAGATAATCTAACATTGGAACACACGATCACCTTCATTCCAGCAGATATAAAAAACACCCAATATTTCTTCGTGGGCTCTTATGATCTTATAATCAAAGACTTCACTGACGCCACCTTCAACTTCCAGAATTTGTACAATGGTGATCAGACCCTCGCCGGAAAAGCAGCAACTCTAGTGAACGAAAATGCAGTGAAAATCGTGTATCAACAAGTGGATCATTTCACCGACTTGCTGGTCACCATCTTCAAAGGGTACACTCAAACATTAATCAGCAGCGTTCCATCAAGTCAAATTCTAGCACATTTGGGAGCATAACATGTGCATTCTAGAGCGATGTGAAATATATCTATGTGATATATGTAGAAGTTGAGAAATTTACGAAAACATTAAATTTTGTGGAGACGACTTCGAGCTTTTCCTCTCCTTTCCTCTCTCGAATGATTTTCCTGTCTGGCAATATTTTCACCGTTCACGAGACGAATGAAACTAAAACATTAGGTTTCCTCGAACCTGATTTTTTCACATCATTTATTATCATTAAGGTATCCGAGGACTATATACCTAAAATTTAATCCTAATCTATTCCAAAGAACCTACTTTCATGTAGGTACCTATAGTGGGTTATTATATACGGACCTAGTAAATTCGGCACAGAACACATAGATATTTTATTCATTGTTCAAAAGAATACACAATTCTTATAACAAAGAGTTTGGGAAGGCCTGGTTGGTTCAGAAAGTTGAAATAATCATAGCAGCAGTAGGCCTATTTATTAGTATATTATGTAACAAGTGTTATAAACGTCCTTTTAGTAACGAGTAGTTTAAGCACAAGCGGAGCAGAGCGGAGCGAGTGTTTAATAAACGAGTGTCTAGAAGAGTTTATAAACGCGTTACATACTATGATTTTTCTACGAACTCCGAAAATTATGTTAACTTACCTGCAATTCCTGGTAACCTACAAAATAATTCGAAAGGAATGGGAATTGAGAACATGATACATGCAACTGCATGCAACCAGCGAGACACGTATAAGTGATATTGGTTGTAGATGTGTCCAGTCCATTGTTTACTATATAACCTTTGTTTCACGTTTATTGTCATGCTCAGCGCAGAATAAATAAATTGTTCTCAAAGATGGATGCTTCATTTTTACACTTCTTGAAGATATGCAGGTACCAGAACATTTTCTTCGATTTCACTTTCGTCAACTTTTCGCATATATTTTTAATGATGAATTCTGATACAAACGAATATTGTTCGAATAATTCTGATACAAAATTCGAAAATAACAGTTGACAGTTAATACAATTGACAGGCCAGACATGTCTCAAATTACTGAAGCTGTAACGTGTTTAATATTTTGAATGAATCACAGATCGACAAATCGTGATTAATCGATCATTTAGCGTGGTACATATCCGTACGCTAAATGCCATTTTAGTTATGTGAGTAGAAAAACATAATTATATACTTGAATGGCAAGAAGAATACTAATTAATGTGATCGATCGATTTGCAGTAATAAAATAAAATGAAATATGTAAATGACATCCGTACATATTATCATGCAAACTTCAATGCCCAAAGACATGTATTACAGATCTCATAATATACAGAACATACAGTGGGTATATCCTATCGAAAAATATTTTTGTGTCGTGATTACAGATGGGTAGGGGGATGAATTATATGATAGAAGTACATGAGATGAGAAGAATATAATGGCTTTTGTATACCTAGCTATATTCGTTCAGGATGTATGAACTTATCTTCAGAAAGCCTGTAATGAAATAGGTTAGTTTTCGTAGATATTTTGGGTTACCTGCATCAAGTCTCCCAAGGCCAGTAAACATTTTGAATCACGCAATTCTTTTTTGGCCAATTCACGAATCGTATAGCCCAACAACGGGTGAGAGTGAGCTACGGTGAAACAAATCCATTGAGAGCTTGTTATATCATGATGGCCAAACAGTCGGAAAAAAACCGAGGAAAAAACCTCAGACACGATATTTTCTTTGTCAGCTGAACATTTTTTTTGTCTACTCATATTATTGTTGACTTCATCAGTGTTCGATTTATGATGCCACTTTAAATTAACCTAACACCTCACTAGGTACAACTATGTTATAAAAATATACAAAGTTCTTATTTCCGCAAATTGTCCTCAAATATGGAATGCCGCATTCCTGTGAAGATGATACCACACCACTATTATCCATAACTCCGCACACTTGATTATTGAAGACTTCACAAACAAAGGTGTTTCGCACCGTCTTCAGAAGAAACAACAGCGATAATGACGAATGGCGGCAAACGACTGAGGAGTCGAATGGGAGCAAGCGTACCGCTGTATACACGTCACTGCAAGTCTTTTAGACAAGCAGAGATTTTCTTGAATCAATATAAATTGGAATTAATGTCACTTGTAGTCGCGGTTTTCTTGAATGAAGAAATATACTCTGTTCATGATGAACAAATTCAAATCAAGAAATTTCAAGAAACGAAGCAAGCAAGCCAATTCATTAGAAACAAGTGTATATTGCTCCATTCAAATGAAAAATTCATGTACGAAGCAATTTGATTTCAAGAAAATGGATTTGTTTGATCATAGAAATCCTTTTCTAAGCGTATGCTTGAAGGCTGAACCCCATATGCGTGGGATCAGTATTCTAACACAGTCCGTAACTGTTCTTTCCAGATCATGAGAAGCAGTTGAGGTGTAGAGTAGATTTCCACACGCAATATAGTTGCAAAGTCCTAAGTATCTATAAGTTATTAATATTTTAGCGAGATATGTTAGCGATAGCCTCAATGTCGATACCTGCCATAAAGATAGTTCTATTCACTATCCACACGTTTTATTGGTACTCGGTATTATTACTATAGATATATATGTAACTCTTTGCCTATTGAAAACTCATATTTCGCAACAATTCTAACACATATACTAACTATCATAATCCCAATCCAGTATGACTAAATCATGTGAGTATACTTACTGATTTTTTGTCTGCATTTTCGATATTCACATTATGCATATGTATATTAAATACTTCTGATATAATACTTCGAGTCATTGTAAATATTTCTTTTAGTGAACAGAGTGATCCTCGAAAGTGTACTTTTTGTAGCGATAATGGGTTTTTCTTCGCAAACACATTCACACAGAGTCCGAAGATGTAGCCCAAGAACGAGTACATTAACTTTCCGTAAGTATATCCATAAAATGTACTGAATTAATGATTTCATCATTTTACGGACCATGGAACTGTAAGAATAGAATATTGAATATCGAAGTACAAATTACAAATACCTTTACCTTAGATTGCGAATGGAACAATGGCGCACGAGTCTACCATTTGAGATAGTGCCTGTGAAATTTTTTTGAGAGCATTCCGACGTAATTAATATTTGTTGTGATTATCTACAACAGTAACTTGATTTTTTCAACCTTTCAAACTGTTTGTAGTAATTCGAAGAGGTGGAATATATATTCATTTGTCTAGGTTTTTTGTGATTTTCTCTCCTCTTTTCTATGAAAATATTTTTTTTCTGCAACCGACACAAAAGTCGACGTTTCTAGGAGCTAAAGTTGAACTTTAGTTCCTAGGAACTAAAAAGGATATACTAGGTCATCAAGAATGAACAACATTGTTATGGTTGGTTATTTGGGTTGGACCGCATACCTGGTTTCTTCCCGATTTCGGCAGTTTTGGCATTCCATATCCATGCATGCATCCAAATACACCATATTATAGTTTAGTATTTTCGTTTCGATCAGGAAAGCCTTCATGATTCGCATACTTGCTTGATCTGTAGTTCATTCATTCTCGGGATGTGATTGATTGGATCACATCTTGTTTTTGAATAATCACGGCCCCAATACCTACTTTTTTGTCTCACACAACGAAACTATTTACCTCAATTTGATTACTGAGCCAAACACAGTGGAATATGTAGAGGAATATATAATCGCAATTATTATTGTTGCTATACTCACTAACCTAACATTTTCCACTTCTATTTTCTATATCTGGCACCGGCACGGTATTTGCTATTAGGGCTGTCACCTGGTCCAAATGAATGTATCGATTCATCGATTCAATAGAATACATGAATGGTTCACTCTGTGGTTGTATTCATATTGAAACTATAATTCGAACATCCTTGAAATTTGAATAAACCTGATCTGTGAATGCAGGTAGAATATTCTCACCACACGGATTATTTGTTGCATTCCATACATATATGGCACGGCAAGTATTGAATTCGTGCCTGTAGTATCTGATATGTTAACCAATATTCTAATTTAAAGTAGTCTGAGGTCTTGCTTGCTTCTATCCGCTCACCTATATTATTATAATGAGGGTATAATAACAAGTCAAGTTTCCTAAGTCACATTGGTGGTTACTTCACATATTTATTTCAGTTTAATTCTTTCGGTTGCAGAAAAAAATAGCATGTTTCGTTTGGATCAAAAGTTACTTTCTTTGACTCGCAAATTTTGTTTTCTCTCGGCAACGCTAGACGTTCCGCATCACAAACGCGAAATTCGCTTGTCAAACAAAGTGTCAATTTTGATCCTGATAAAACAATCTACTTTGAAAAGGAATATTCTCAAATAAATTATGAACATACAAAAAAGGATATATATTGATATAAAGCAATACATTGAGAATTCGCATTCTCTATGTGATGAGGATATTTACTCTTTTTCAGTTAATTCAATAGAAAACAACTACTTTCCTGGCTATATGCCACGACGAACATTGAATTATATCTATTGAACACACACGATAAGAGTTTGAAAATAAAATATAAAAATTTCTGAAATTGCGAATTCTCAATGTATTGCTTTATATCAATATATATCCTTTTTTGTATGTTCATAATTTATCTGAGAATATTCCTTTTCAACACTTTCATACCCAATCAGGGGGTTCAAACTTGAACGATGGAAACTTGTGATTTTTATAGACCTCTAATCGCAGATTCGTGATAGAGTCTCAATTTAGAATTCATTTCCACGCCCTGTATGATGAATGTCAATTTATCATACACCCAAAAGCACAATCTACTTTGTTTCAATTTATGTGTGGTGAAGACAAATCAGAGATGAGTTGCCTCAAAATGTCACTGCGCTCAATATGAGTCTTAATTCAATCCTCGATTCAATCGCTATGTATGACACCTTGTTTTGAAAAATGTTCGAAGAAGAGATTCAATTCCCCAAAAAAATTAAGCAACACCAAAAAGTATCCAACAGTTTGAGATACATTTTTGTTAAAACTACTTGTCCGGTTTGAACTCTTTTATTTTAAATAGCATGTTATTCTCATGAACATTGGTGTGCAAACTGTATTCATAAGAAAACCTTTTTTCTATAAATACCGGGTGTAGCACGTAAAGCGTGTGTTTTTCATAAAATTTATTATACCCTAAATAAATACAAAAAGCTCAAAGTCATTTCCACACATTGTTCGTTAAATGAACAAGAGAATGGTAGATTTTGGGAGAAAAACAACTACTTTCCGGGCTAATGCCACGAAGAACATTGAATTACATCCTCCCGAAATCTATGCATTGACTCGTATAAGCAAATACTGACACAAGTGATTCCTTCCTAAATGCCTATTGATTTCGATTTAGCCAGGCCACGCTAGACACCTACAGACCGATTTAGCGCTCTTTGACTCTCATGTGTGCATGGCAGTCTCTAGCCAGCAGTCCCAAGACCGCCCACTAAGCGTAGGTGTAGCCTAGCCAAACAGGAATTAAGTCGGCATTATATTCCCTCAGAGGCGTCATCCATAGACAATATATGAGAGCAACGCCATCTGAAAGAAACACTGCATAGATTTCGGGAGGATGTAATTCAATGTTCTGCGTGGCATTTGCCAGGAAAGTAGTTGTTTTTCTCCCGAAATCTACACACATGAAAATAATTTCCTCCTTCAATGAAATATGCTTTGAATCAAGATTATGGCTTGTTTATATAAACTGGAATAAACGATTGCTTGATATAAGAATTGTTGATTTCCAATTCAGTATTCTCCGACCAAGCATATAGGTTGCTTGAAATATGAAGAAAACGATATTCGTTATATGAGTACACTAACTATACTCTAAACAAGACTCTCATTACATTGATTTTCAAGACAATCATTCTCTTCATTTTGAAAGTACTTTTCTTGAATAAAATAACAGAAGTTCTTATTATTCACTGCTACTTATTTCATAACAAGAAATTGATAAGATTGGACGAATGAAATGAGGTGTTTCAATTGAAACTACCACATTGCTGAATAATAAAACTATAATTTACATGATTGGATGAAATAGCTCTTTATTCAAGAACTTCAAAGGTGATAATGAAAATGAGTTTTTGAAAAAGAAAAGTCTTCAAGTCGTCTCCACAAAATTAATTGGCGAAAATATATGCAGTCAATCCTGCTTCAAAAAGGTTTGAGACATGTTTCGACCATTCAGATGGTCATGGCATCAATGATTCGTACCTAAAGTGAATCTTGAATGGATGAAAGTTATACTTAACATCTTGCAAAGGTCGTCAGCATTATGAGTGAAAAGTGGCATGATGGAATTATAAAATTATCAAAACATAGAACATGATGTGTATCTGTTGAACATCAAGAATCTGATAACAACAAAAGTGTCACGATTCACTCATTCAATAATCTTCTATAACTATTTTGAATCGCTATACAACCTCGTAAATACCAAAACACTTTTGAAGTTATCAGACTCTTGATTTTTATCAGTTACACATGTTCCAAATTTTGATATTAGTATAATTTCATGTCACTTCTCACCCATTATGATAGTTTTTGCAAGATATTTCATCCATTGTAGATTCACTTTTGATATCTATGATTGGTGATCACCATTCGAATGGCCGAAACATGTATCAAACCTTTTTGGAGCAGAATCAACTGCATGCATTCGCCAATCAATTTCATGGGTACGACTTCGAGACTTTTCTTTCTTGGTTGTTCCGCGCAACTCCGAGTATGGACTATGGAGAAAGAAGTATTTCTTATTTGTTTCAATTCATCATTCCCCATTCTTGCAGTTTTCCTTCCATTCCGTATACTGATAAACAAAATACTCGTGTCAGAATGTCACTTTGCACTTCAACAGAAAATCAACCGAAATACTAACTTATATTGTCGAAGGTACTGATACCATTGTTGTTCGTTTTATGAACATTGCGTGGAAATGACTTGGAGCCTTTTGTATTTATTTAACATTTCATTTCACTCTGAGAAATGTGGCTATTTCGTAGTTATTGAAATCACGCCAGTCGGCCAACCAGACACTCCCGTATGGGAATTTGGTTTTGGAGTGTTTCTTTCCTACTTTTTGTTGCTATCTAATAAATAGTGTTTCGAAAAACTAATGAAACACGCTTTCATAGATTTCAAAACTGAAAAGAAGTGGAAAATAAATAATATAGTTTGGAAAACTAAGGAGATAGATTACCGAAGTGAAAAAAAGTAGAAAATGAATGAAGTTTGATATTTTCATTTTAACATTTCAACAAGAGCTTTCTTTCAAATTTCCATTACTTCTACACATTTTGGTGGAGAAATTTCAATGATGAAAAATGGAGAATTTCAGGACTTTATTTTTCGTACTATCACTATAACTAATGTTCTTTTGTAGCTGATGATTTCAAATATTGCAAGGCCGACTCTTCCAACTCATCTTGTCTTGTAGATCTGATTCAAGATACTCTAATCAAACTTGGAACGAAAGGTAAATTTCAAAGAACATAACACATGGTGAGTCATATTCCTACCACGAATAAAGGTCGCTGAGGGGGACACCTATAATCACAATCAGAAATTGTATTCTCTCCTCCACTTTGGCAAAATCATCTTTCGGTCATAACTTTCCAACAGCTCCTTCGATACGTCTGTATTTTTCATTAAATATTTTGCTAATACTCTCTAATCGAGTGATTTATTCAGAATCTGGAAAATTCAGAACCCTTCTTGAAAAATGTTACTAATAGTTTAGTTTAAATCGAAAAGATCATCCTGTATATGGTTTTCGTAAACTGTGACAGGGGATTTTCGAAGGTGACAAACAAACATAAAAAATAAAATATTCAATTTTTCCCTCACACTCTCACTGCATAAATTCATGACATATCATATATTATTGACTGATGAATGGGTGCGATGAACATCACTATATTGATGAATATTTTTTTAGGTATTTCCTCGCCGATAAACTTCAACATCAATCCCATGACTCTAGATTTCTGGAATTTCCAGGTTGAAGTAGATGCTGTAAAAACTCACGAATATTTCTGGGACCTCAAACATCCAACACTTTGGAATGCAACAGTACTATTTGCCTCGTGAGTCTGGTACAAATAGTATATCATAGTGTTACAATTTGCTCTACTCTACTCATTTTATCCACTGCTTTTCTACAGTACTCAATATTACGAACGCACTGAATACGAACCCTATGTATAATATAATTTCGAATTTCAGCATTTCATAGAGATTCCAAAAATTGAAAAATATATAGAGTATTATTTGAAAAAAATTATACGGTCGTCATTACTCAAACGTGGCCCACTAAGCAAAGTAATATATCTACAATATTGCAGCAGTATTTCGATGTAATGTATTATGTTACATCAGATATTGCCGCTATCTTACTGCAAGGTCGCAGCAACTACTGGAACGAATGAATGTGATGTTCGCGAATGAATCATTCCATCAAAATTATTTCAACATTGTGTATGAAGTATAGTAAATTCTCATATTCAATGAACAAATGAAATCTTATTGTAATATTTTATGGAGGTTACCGGCAACATAAAACAAAAATCATTACAATTTCTGTTCCTAAGTATATTATTTTTATCAGTATTATTTGCCATTTGGAGGTGTACTACAACAAAATACCTGTTACCTAAACCTATACTATCAACAAATATGGCGCTTGAGAATACAGAGATGCTGGCATTTGTCGAATGCAAGTTTGCGACTGCTAGTAGGCATTTCATGAAATGGCATCTCGATATTCGATACACAATGAAGCATTTTGTATATTTCAGCTATATTCCAATTTATAATCTAATATGTGTTGCATCTCATAAGTTGTAGCAATATTATTTGTAGTTAGCTTATGTATGGTATTTACTAACTCGATGAATAAGTATCAATTTTAATGCAACATTACAATTGAAAATTCAGTGATTAGTGGGGGATCACCCTGTATATGAAATTTTCCCTGATAAATGTGGTAAATTGAAAATTGAACACAACTCATTCCGAAAAAGTCCTCAGAAATTGATAGTTTGGTTAACAAAATAATGTATCCAGTATAGGTATTTCTCGAGAGCCTTGGATTTAACGGACACACTGTTTTTATGCACTGTCCGTAAAATTGAAGTTCCTATGTGTAATACATTTATGAATTCGACTTTCCTTTGGAATACCAATAATTTCACAATTTATATGGTGTTTCTTTGGAAAATATTATTGCGGGCTCCATAACTCAAATGTTAACTGATCCCTCAGAAATGCATATTTTGGGAAAAAAATAAATGTATTTCCAGTACTTCACGAAAACACGTATAGTATACTATGTATTATCGCATGGGTGACTGACATCGAAAATATACATTTTCGTAATGGGCCTATGTTTCCCTCTGTAGATCTAGTAGGTGAACCATCTCATTCTCGAATCATTATTACACAACATAATCGGACTAGTATTTTTTCTGCAACCGACAAAAAAGTCGTCCATTTTAATACCAAAAACAGCTCTTGAATTGACCTTTCTATTATTGACACAAAAAGTTGAACTTTAGCTCCTAGGGACTAAAAAATGTGTACTAGAGGTCATCAAGAATAAACAACACTGTTACGGTTGGTTATTTGGGTTGGGATGTATACTCGATTTGTTTCCGATTTCGGCAGATTTGGCATTTCCTACCCATGCTGAGAAATAAATACACCTTATTATAGTTGAGTATTTTTTGTATTGATCAGGAAACCCCTCAAGACTCACATACTTGCTTGATCTGTATTTTATTCGTTATTCTCGGGATGGATAACTTGGTTTTGAAAAATCACGGCCAGCAATTATTGTTTTTTGTCTGAAACAACGATATTGTTTACCTTTATTTGAATATCAAGCCAAACACAGTGGAGTATGGGGAGAAATAAATAATCGCTATCATAATTGTTGATATGCTCACTAACCAAACATTTTATGCACAAATATGTCACTCTGTGGTTGTATTTATATTGAAACTTCAATTCGAACATCTTCAATATTTGAATAAACGTGCTGCACACGGATTATTTGTTGCATTGCATACATATGGCACGGCATTGGTGGTTACTTCACATATTTATTCGAGTTAATTGTTTCGGTTGCAGAAAAAATAACATGTTTCCTTCGGATCAAAGGCGACTTTGATCGCAAATTTCGCTTTCGCACGGCTTCGCTGAACGCTTCGCCTCGCAAATGCAAAATTCACTTGTCAAACAAAGTGTCACTTTTGATCCTAATAAAACTGCTATTCATAATATTTGATATCAGAATTGGAAGTTGATATATGATTTTAATCGAATAGGTACCTCCTTGTAAAGTCTTTTCAAATTATCTCGTGACACATTCAGCAAAAAACATCGCCGGTGGCACACCTCAAGTGATTTTGCAAAGACTAAACGTGGTGTTTGTTGTACAGTATATACATACTACTCACATAGCTATTTCAGCCTACAGGGAAATATTCCAACAATCATCTATTATACTTATCTTTTTGATATCTGAAAGGGATATTGACTCTCAACGAAACCTCATTTAGTTTTTCCTTCAGGTTTGACACATCTAGTCTCACCCTTACTTACACTACTTTCCATGACCATTTAGCCCAGTATAATGGTCGTTACAAGATTTGGGGCCAACTTTATCACGACCAGGATAGTAATCCAGAAGTCATTTATGGAAATGGAACGGCAGATAGGCATGTGTGTAAGTATATACTGTTCGAAAACTTTGCAAGCATTATTTTATTGTTATGCATCGATAATCGAGCATCCTCTATCCTCAACAAATTTTTTTCGCTTGTATCAGAAAGAAGAACCAATTTTGTTATTCACACCCTGTGAATTTTATTTCATCTTTGATTCTTTAGTGATTTCACATCAAGTTTTTCCTATAGTAATCTGAAAACCTGGAACGGTTTTCGAGATAATTATTGATTGCGGAAAATCTTGAGCAAAGTATATTTTAAAATATATTTCATTATTTTCACTACCAGAAACATTCAGAAGCTAATATTTGGGAGACAAAGAGGTCGAGTCAAACCTTGATAATGCAAAAAAGTCTTCATTATGATATGCAGGGTGGTTGAAAAATCATTTTTGTGCGATTTAGAAAAATGACTAGGAGTCTAGTTTTACAAATGGACCGTCCTGCATTTTCTAATTCTATATTCACATTGATCACTCGTCAAGTTCCCTCAATTATTCCGTATACTTATCCGAAACTTAAGTACCTAATGGTACGGTACCTACATCAATTTCTAAAGCTCTTCGAATAAAAAAAAAGGAATACCTAATCCATATAGTTTTCAATATTTTTATATATTGTGGAATAGTCAAAAAGCATGATCTGGATGACGAATAAGCAAATTCCGAGAGCTCTTGATAAGTGGTCATATATATCCATCTCAACATTTCTACAGGGTTCAGTGGTTCTTTTGGAAGTTTATTAGATCCAAATCAAAAAAAAATCTGAAATATACCTACTCAGATACGTCATAACCTCCTGGTCTTACTAATATAAAACAATTTGAAAAGCCTAGCCTTCTGTACTGATAGCTAGATTTTTCAGAATGTTTGTTGATTAGCAACTGCATGGTTACGATACATTTTCCGCAAATATTCAGATGACCATGGCTGTTTCCATAATCATTAGTGATGAATCCAATGTTTTTACCTAATTTTTATTCAGTAGGATCCTAGGTCAAAGAAAATACAATACTGACAATAAAAATTGCAAAGTCATAAAAAAAATCGAAATGTAAGTATACCTACATAAATAATTATATTATAGCAGAGTATCACAGTCTTTCATTGAAATAATACGATTTACATACAAGAGCAACCCCTTGATTCTATGCTTATAGAGTTAAATAGGCAAATTATTCTTGATATCATTTGGCAATTTGTTGGACACTTTTATGGCCATATATCGAGGACAAGTTTTGGTTACTGTCAATCTGTGTAGTCGCACTTCTAGCTGTTGCGAATATCTAGTGATATGTGTATTTCTGTTAAGACTCTGGAAATCTATTATATTCAATTCAACATATTGCAATAACTTATAGATGTATATACTAATGAGTGATGTTAAGATTCTGAGGCTTTGAAAAATGCACTTACAACTGGTTCTTCTTCTTACTCCTGCAATATACCTGATAGCTCTTTTTTTTATTTTAAATACCCTGGTGCAATCACTAGATGCTCCCCATGCCATAATTCCATAAGATATAATAGAGGGAAATTATGCATGATAATAGATTAATAATAAGGATCTACTCACACACAGGATCTCTACTCTTGTTGAATGCAATAGGTTACTGGAGCTACTTTTTTACACACCATATCTATATGACTATTCCATTTTGAATGTTCGACCATTTTCAGACCCAGAAATTTCGTCTCATTCTGTTGTTGAATTGATCCATTTACAGATTTCACCAAACTATTGTCGAGACTGGTCCTTGTATGATTGAAACGTAGGAGTACCGTTTTCTTATCATTCAAAACCAGGCCATTTTCTGTGAACCATTTTTGAGCTTTCCTAATTCCTTCAGATGCTTTATCAACCGTTGACATCGGCATACATTACAAAGTGATCACTATTATTGAAGTCATTAACATATATTATATACAAGAGTGGACCCCGAATGGAGCATTGTGGTATACCCCTATAAAACTGGTTCTTGATCCTGAATTTTCACCATTCACCTCTACATGATATTTTCTGCCCTACAAGTAGCTGTCGAACCATCCATAAGCTACTCCCCTGATACCATACATTTGAAGTTTTATGAGAAGACTTTCATGATCAACCAAATCAAAAGCTCTACTCAGATCTAAGAAAATACCCAGAGCCTTCTGTCCTTCATCTACATGTTGTTACAACTCGTTGAGAAACTATGTGATAGCGTGGCTTGTAGACAATCCCTTACGAAAACCAAACTGGTTAGTGTTCTGTAAATTCCATTCATCGAAAAATGTGACTACTAAATTCGAAACATATTTTTCATAGACCTTTGCAAATGGACTTGAAAGTGAAATTGGTCTGAAATACTCCAATTCCGTTTTGTTCCCTCTCTTATGAATTGGAACAATCTTACACATCTCAAAGCATTCCGGAAAAACTCCTTCTTCTAACGCACAATCAGTCAAATAGGTGAGAGGTTCATGGACAGATAGATAGATAGATCAGTTCGAAAAACCACTGAAATGTGCGGTGTAATGTAGTAAGTCTAGTGTACTGTACATTTTCAACCACTTGGATGACCAACTAGCCCTCTTTGAAATATGGACACTTTGGCCTCTATTAATGGTACATTTCATTTTAAAACTAATAATATCGCTGATGCCTCCTTTTTTTCACTTCCACAAATCTCCTAGTTCATATACTGCTGAATATTGACTAACGATAGTCCGAAACATTTCAGATAATTCTGATAATAAAGGACCCCGCACTTTTAGTACGTTAAATGGTTCTCGGTGAAATTTTCTGAATTTTCAGTATGTTGTCGAATTCGATGAACTGATTGAACCTGCAGAATCGTAAAGTTCTTTGATGAGCAGATTCTGAGATACAGGGCGTTGAAGTTACAAATCGGTATTTTTCATTTAATTATTTTCTCGAAATTCAAAGATGCCAAGTACAATTTTCTTCGCTCATATCATTAACGAACCTCCATATTACTCAACATAATGCAGATGGTTCAGATGATGTAATTGTTTACAGAGTGAAACATATTATAAACATTTCAGTGATGTCTGAAAATTCGATGTAATAATGAAATATCGAAAAAATAATTCAGGCATGCAATACACTATTCCCATTCCATCATGAATCACAATTCATACACATCCTGTATATACGAGTGAATTGTTCACCTCCAAAGATAGCTGATACCGTATGAACATGATTTCGTTGAGATATATAGGGTGATCATGAAGATTTTCGATGATGAAAATGACAAAAAATCGTGTTTTTTGAAATCACCCTGTTATTCATGATTAACTCGGTGAAATTCCCTAATTATTTCTTATTATATTCATCATTCGCTCCTCAACGCTGTCTTGAAAATTCAGTTCCCTATCATGACGGGTGTCATAGTTATTAATTCAGGAACTTACCATTTGCATGAAGAGTTGAAGAGACTTGTTCACTTACATTCGCATATTGGCCGATATTTTTCACAAATAGTGAAACGTGAGAATGTGGGGACGAAAATAAGTTTAGTATTCATATACAGGTCGAACATTAGAAATTCAATAACAATAGCAGGTATATTAGTTTAATAATATTAATATAATGTACAGATAGTTAGGCGAATTTCGTTGATATACAAGCAGAACAGAAACCCATTTTTCCATTCAATTGGAATTAACCTTTTAGGATTATTTTCTATTTTACCATCATATATACGTATTGAATTATATCAATGGAATGTGATATGAATATGAATCTAATGATATTATAATTTACTGATAGCAAGCAAATATGAAAATAATGGAAACGCCTGATTCTGAGTGGAAAACAAATGTGAAAAAATCTGTCGATTCCAGGATTCAACTCTCCCTATTAGATATGGAAGCGTGAAAGACCGAATCATTCTCCCATCTCCTAGGTATTGTTCGTTTTTCATTTTGGCAGAGCTTGTATACCAACGAGATTCGCCTAACTATCTGTACATTATATTAATATTATTAAATTCATGTATCTATTGTTATTGAATTCCTAATGTTCACCCTGTATATGAATACTAAACTTATTTTCGTCTCCACATTTCACTATTTGTGGAAAATATCGGCCACTATGCGAATGTAAGTGAACAAGTCTCATAAACTCTTCATGCAAATGGTAAGTTCCTGAATATGACACCCGTCATGATAGGAAACTGAATTTTCAAGACAGCGTTGAGGAGCGAATGATGAATATATTAAAAATAATTAGGGAATTTCACCGAGTTGATCATGAATGACAGGGTGATTTCAAAAAACACGATTTTTTGTCATTTTCATCATCGAAAATCTTCATGATCACCCTATATACCTCAACGAAATCATGTTCATACGGTATCAGCTATCTTTGGAGGTTAACAATTCACTCGAATATACAGGATGTGTTTGAATAAATCGGTCTTAGGTGTCACCAATTTTTCAAATCACCCTGTATGAAATGTATGAATTGTGATTCTTCATGGAATGAGAATAGCATATTGCATGCCTGAATTATTTTTTCGATATTTCATTATTACATCGAATTTTCAGACATCACTGAAATGTTTGTATGTTTCACTCTGTAAACAATGACATCATCTGAACCATCTGAATTATGTTGAGTAATATGGAGATTCGTTAATGTTATGAGCGAAGAAAATTGTACTTGACATCTTTGAATTTCGAGAAAATAATTAAATGAAAAATACCGATTTGTAACTTCAACGCCCTGTATCTCAGAATCTGTTCATCAAAGAACTTTACGATTCTGCAGGTTCAATCAGTTCATCGAATTCGACAACATTCTGAAAATTCAGAAAATTTCACCGAGAACCATTCTACGTACTAAAAGTGCGGGGTCCTTTGTGGAGATGACTTAGTGTGTCCTGTGTCTGAACCTATTTGCCTTTTTTTTTTTCAGATAATTTAACATTGGAACACACGATCGTCTTCGTCCCAGCAGATATAAAAAATACCCAATATTTCTTCGTGGGTTCCTATGATCTAACAGTCATAGGGTTCACTGACGCCACATTCAACTACCAGAATTTGTACAATGGGGATCAGACCCTTGGCAAAAGGGCTGGATATCTGATGAACGAAAATGCGGTGAAAATCGTGTTCCATCAAGTTGACAGTTTCACCGAGTTGTTGGTCACCATGTTGAAGCAGTACACTCAAACATTAGTCAGCAGCGTTCCATCAAGTAAAATTCTTGCACATTTGGCAGGATAACACCTGATCAATTTATTTCAACGCCTATACTTACTTTCATCACTTGCATGTTGATGTCATGATATAAGCATTCTAGAGTGAAGTGAAATATATCTAGGAGTTGACGAAGACATTAAATTTTGTGGGGGCGACTTCGAGTTTTTCTTTCTTTCCATCTCTTGAATTATTCTCATGTCTCGCTATATTCTCACGAGAAAAATGATTGTAAAAACGTTAGATTTCCTTGGAGCTGAATTTTCCGCATTATTCTTTTTCGTCAATGTACCTAGCTAGTTATGTATACTTTCAGTTTTTTTCACGAACAACCCTGAACATTAATAAAAACTAGATTAAACCATGATTTTTGATAACTGATAGCCATCGGCTTTTGACAATAATCCGATTTCAACAGAAAATACTGTGGGGTGATTGGGGTGGAAGGAAACGATGCATTTTTTCCATTGTAATCTCTGCAATCAGAGGGGAAATAGATAGTCCAGCAGTCTTGTGAAATTAATCTGCAGTCAATTATTAAAAACCAGCGAATAATGGACCCAAAATAATCAATTTAAAATGTAGGAAAATTCTGATTTTGTTGCCTATAACCCTTGCCGGACCATATTACCTGAATATTTTAAGCCTCTGTAAGTTTCTCCATGCTGTGCTAGAACCTCAGTAAGCATCCAGCCTAAATATTCGCCAACCCAGTGATCGAATAGTAATTTTGTGAAGGTAGCTGTGGGGTTTTACGTATTACTTACACTGGGGATCAACAGCAGTAAAACACTGCTCGCCAGTAGCAAGGAAATCACCGATAATACTGCAGGTAATGAGGAGGCGAGAAAATACTCATGGCTTATACAGTGTGTCCATTTAGTGCGTAATTCTTCGATATCTTGAAAGTCATAACCTATAGAGAAAAACTTTGGAGAAAAGACTTTTTCAGTTACTAAAGTTGCTCATTTCAAAATTATTTTCAACATTACTGGGTGTTTCATAAAAGCAGGGCAACTCGAAGAAGAGCTTTTTTAAATGGAACACCCAGTATTGTTCATTCAGAATTTATTCAGTCGAGGTTCACCTTCACGTCACTGTAAAAAAAATTGAAATCGGTTGCGGCGTTGCCAAGTTATAATTAATAAATCCATTTTTACCATTATTGAAGAGTCATGTTGAATTGGGCATGGTATATTCATTTATTCAGATTTTGAAAATATTTTTGACATACGGTAGGAGCAAGGTCCAACATATACCAATCCACTAATTTTGCGACATGTTCTTCAACAGGGTGCTCAATTTTGCATTTAGAATTTTGCAAGATTCAGATGACATTCATCAGAATTTTTCAAATGGAACACCCTGTATTTTTATTCAAAAATTCATTTAGACATCTTTCGCCTTTTTATCGCTGGAAAACAAATTGAAATCGGTTGTGGCGTTGTCAAGTTATGGTTGATTTCCGTATTTTTACTACTATTTCGGGGTAATTTGTACGTCATAGTTCTTTCCTTTATTTGTATTGTGGAAATATTGCGTTGCTACGGTATAATCAAATTTGTTCATTGACCATATATTTTTTTACAAAAAGAACATTTACAGGCTCTCCAAGTTTGAATTTCTTTCGAAATATTTGTGAAATGACCTGTCAAACATCGCTACAATCAAAAATATCTTGGATTGATTCGACATTTCGCTGAATTTCCTCCCAAAAGCCGCGTAGTAGAGACATATTGTTTGTATCATTATGTTTACCTTCTTCAAGTCAAATGGAGATTTGGATTGTGGGAATAACGACAATAAAAATGGCCCAAATTTCAAAAAAATTTCCTAATTTTCGCAATCCGCATCTTCATTGTTTGTATTGTAGAAGTTATTTCAAAGACAGACGTTGCTTTTGGCATGTTTGTTTGTTTCACATATTTTTGAATCATAAGTAGCAAAATTACGGAATATTTCAAATTTGGACGATGCACATATCACAAAAATACCTGAATGATCTATGTAGAACCTCGAATGTTATGTGGCAGGCAAAATTCCCACACTCAAATCAAATTAAGGAACCATCATGACGAACAAATTACCCCAAAATAGTAGTAAAAATAAGGAAATTACTCATAACTTGAAAACTCCGCAACCGATTTTGATTTTTTCTTCTGCGATGAAAAGGCGAATGATGTCGAAGTGAATCCGTGATGAAAAATACAGGGTGTTCCATTTGAAAATTTCTTATGATCGTTGTCTGAACCCTACAATATTCAGAATGTAAATTTTAGCACCCTGTAGAGGATTATCTCGCAAGATTACTGGATTGGTATACGGAGCTGAAATTGTTAAATTTCTAATGAACAATACTGGGTGTTCCATTTGAAAAAACTCGTTTTCGAGTTGCCCCGCTTTTATGAAACACCCAGTATTGTTGGGAATATTTTCGAAATGAGCAACTTTAGTAACTGAAAAAGTTTTTCCTTCAAAGTTTTTCTCTTGTGATAATTGATTCCGAGATATCGAAGAATTACGCACTAAATGGACACACGTACAGTGGTATCACTTTCGTTGTAAGCACCCCTGTATCTCCCTTCTTCCGTAATCATTGAGGTAGGATGTAATCCGCAGAAGCTAGAAAGAAACCAAATACAGGGAGGTTCGCTATTGGTGGAGTGAATGATTTTTCTGAAAATTCGCAAGACACATCAACGTTTACATGTATTTAGCTACATTTGACGCGCAATATGAAGAATATATCCGTTCAGGGGTAGCTGGAATCAACCCCAATATGTTTTTTTCAAATGCAATCCTATGGCTTGCGACCCCTCATTGGAAAGCTGTTAGAAAGAGAAATCCAGCGTACTGATCATATTTAAGTTTGCAGTACGTTTGGGGATCGCATAAAATCAAAATATAATTTCGAAGTTCAATATATTTGCAACGTATTTCTACTCGTTTGCAATAATACACCTCGTTTCGAAATGTGAATACGGCAAAAAACTAAATTTCTCTTTGTGGCTCTATAAAAACATTGGAATACAATAGCAGATAGCAGTTATAGCAAAAAATTGCCATCAATTATTCAACACAAAATTTGAGCTATTGATACATTTGAAAAAAAAAGAATTTTGAAATAACATTTCAATTTTGTATAACCCTAAAACGTATGAAAAAGTAACATTTGACAAGTACGCTGGATTCGATCCTCTCTCCACCAGCTTTCCAATGAGGGGTCACAAGCCATATAGCCATATTTTAAAAAATCATGATGAGGGTGGTTTCAGCTATACCGCTGGAGGTATATATTCTCGTAACTACGCCACTGGTTCATAAAATTCAATTCTGAAAACTCCAAGTTCTTACCTTGATTAATCTGGAATAGTATACCTAGTTTGAATTTTTTTCCTATAGGGGTTCCGAAGAAATTAATATAAATCTCAATTTTTTTACGTTGTTAGGAACAAAATGAGGTTATATAGGAACCAGCAAATGAAGTTTTTCCGTCTTATTCTGACTCACCATGTATACTATTTGGAAATCCCATACTGTTATTTTGATCCATAACAACATGCACGATGTTGGGATTATTCTGTAGAATTACAAGGTACGTCCCAGCGAGCACAAACATCCCTGGGATGTTTTGGGATGTTTTGAAAATGTTGGCATGAAGATGTTATTTTGAGACGTAATATGCACTGACCAAAGAGGTCTTTGAAGGATATTGAAGTATTTTTTTTTGTTCTTCTGTGGCATTTCTTTGTTTGCCTACTGCATGAGAGGTATCCCTGGGATGTTTTGAGATGTTTTAGAAATGTAGGCATGAGGATGTTTTTTTGAGGCGTAATATGCACTTCCCAAAGAGGTCTTAGGAGGATATTGAAAGTATTGTTTTTGTTCTTTTGTGCCCTTTCTTCGTTTGCCTCACCACAACGTCTCATGCTTACGTCACAATACGATGAATTCTGATTTGTTTTCGATTTTGTTCTTCTTGTTCGCAATTGGCATTCGCGTTTGCAGCGTGTCACGCTGACATCACGCTGCTAACGAACAGAAAGGAATTTGGTGAAGTTTATTGTGTTAGAAGACTTATTTAGTTTGTAATAATGACCATCAGATGCAAAATGTGTTGTTCGGTGCCTCAGTGTAATCAATATATAAAAGTACGAACTCATCAATACACAGCTTCTCCGCAGTTGCAAAATTATGCATTGTGGAGAACATTTCAAAAATTGGGAAACCTATTTCTAATTATATGTCTGTGTGTAGTAAGCACTACTCAGAAACCGATTAAGAAGGTGATTTCATATCAAGAAATTATTTTTATGTTCAATCTATTTTTAATGCATTTTTTCATTCAAGGGAAATGTAATCCTAATGCAAAAGTTCATTTTGACAAAAGGCTTCAGAAAAGTACCTCGAAAATGTTTTTTTTACAGCGATTTAATGTGCGCAAGACGCGTTGAAAATGTTCTGTTGTGTCCATGAAAAGGCTTTAAAAAGAACTAGGGAGAAGGTAGTTTTGTGACATATCAAGGACATCTCGATAATTGCCGCCTGCGGCGGACATTGGCTGTTCTATGATAGTTCTATTCATGTGTGAACAGAACATCGCAGTGGAGGTTCAATGTCTCGAAATCTCGTACTTTTAACATTTCTGAGATGTTTTTGTGCTCGCTGGGGTGGTTTATTCTTTCCTCGGAATCAAAATGTCATCTTTCAGCAGAATTACGAAAAGTCTCGAACGACACACGGCCGAAGGCCGAAACACAAATAACGGATTCGTTTGTTATGTATTCCTAGGCTGCGGCTCAGATCACAATATTCAACCTCTAATTATTGAGGTAGGATCCTGAAATATACAGGAGCGAGAATACCGAAGGTGCACAAAATTACCAAATAGAAGTCCTACTCATGAGTGATATACAGGGTGTATCTGAATGAAACCGGAAAATTTCAGGGTGATGTGATATTTCAAGAAATAAAGTTCATATGAACATGTGTCCTAACTTGCTTCGTTTTCGAGATACGGGGTATCAATATGTCCATGAAAAATCTTTTTTTTAAATTATTACTCTTTCCATCAATTTCAATAAAACGTTGTGGTTTTGTTAATAGATTCAAAATAATTTCCAGTGGCGTCATAGTGGGTAAATTTATCGATATTTATGGTGAATGTCATTGTACACCACACGGAAAAAAAGGATTTGTTGTTCCAACAAATTATTTATGCTTAAATTATTTTTGTTGGAGTGAGCAGTTTTTTGTTGAATCAACCAGATACATGATTATTTCATGGAAGCAGCTTGTTCAAATCAAGAATGTAGTCTAATTGAATCAACAGTATACAACAAAATATATGGTTTCC